GTTCGAGACCAGCCTGGCCAAACCAGTTTTGTTTAGTAGAGCGAAACCCCGTCTCTACTAAAAATACAAAAATTAGCTGAGCTTGGTGGGCTGAGCTTGGTGGCGGGCGCCTGTAGTCCCAGCTACTCGGGAGGCTGAGGCAGGAGAATCACTTGAACCCGGGAGGCAGAGGTTTCAGTGAGCTGAGATTGTGCCACTGCACTCCAGCCTGGGTGACAGAGTGAGACTCTGTCTCGAAAAAAAAAAAGAAGTGGCTCACGCCCGTAATCCCAGCACTTTGGGAGGCCACAGCAAGCGAATCAATCAGGAGATTGAGACCATCCTGGGCAACATGGTGAAACCCTGTCTCTACTAAAAATACAAAAATTAGCTGGGTGTGGTGGTGCACGCCTATAATCCCAGCTACTTGGGAGGCTGACGCAGGAGACTCACTTGAATCAGGGAGTCAGAGGTTGCAGTGAGCTGAGATCATGCCACTGCACTCCAGCTGGTGACAGAATGAGACTCTGTTTCAAAAAAAAAAAGAAACCCACATCTGGAAATGGTGTAGAGAAACCACAGAGCTCCAAAAGCAAAGATCTTAAAAGTAGCCAAAGAGAAAAGAAACCTTGTTTACAAAGAAACAAAAACTATATGGTGGCAGGAACAGTGAATTTAGAAGACAGAAAAATATCTTCAAAGTATTAAGAGAAAGTTAACCCAGAATTGTGTGCCCAGCAAAACTGCCTTTCAAAAATGTATGTAAAATAGAAACATGAAGGTGAAATAGGGACATTTCAGAATAAAACCGAGAGATTTTACCACTAACAGACCTTAACTAAAATAATTTCTGGAAGATATACTTTAGGAGGAAGGAAAATGATCACAGAAAAAGGGAAACATTTGTAAAAATATGTAACTTATTTCAATGCAAGAAAGAATGACGAATAAACTATTAAGTATGTAAATAATTCCAAAAATTGTCTGCAAAAAACTTCTAATGAAAGGTGATGATGGTCTATAATTTGTGGGGTTAAAAAAGGACACACAGAAATACTGGGCAATATTTATAGATGGGTGAAGGAGGCCCGAGGTTGGTGGGGAGAGTTAGACTGTTCTAAGTTCTTTGTATTCTTCTAAGAGAAGGTTCAGGTATTTGTTCACTTTAGACATTGTTAAATGTGCATGGTACAATTTCAAGGGTAATCACTACAAACAGAAAATGTGTAACTTCCATACCAGTAAAAAGTAAAATAGAATAAAAAAACAAAAATCAAATGCAGAAGAAAAAGGAAAAAAATAAGTTTAAAAAAGGAAAACAAATGGAAAGCCAAAAATTAGTAGGGTGAAAATCTAAATATATCAGTAATCACAATAAGTATAAATGGACTAAACAATAAACAAAAAGACACATTCTTAGACCTAAATTAAAAAATATATAAGGCACACCTAAAATAAAAGGACACAGGAAAGATGAAAGTAAAATGATGAAAAAAAGATATAGCAGGCAATACTATTAAGTTGGTGAAAAAGGAATTGTGGTTTTTGCCATGACTTTTGCGCCAACCTAATAGTTAAAAGAAAGTTGGTGTAACTATGTTATCATTAGACAAAATAGACTGTAAGAGATAAATAAGGACTTTATATAATGATAAAAGGTTTTATTTATCAGGGAGATGTAATAGTTCTAAAGTTGTGTTCTAAATAATTCTAAAGTACCTATTAAAATAGCATCCAAATATATAAAATAAAAATTTATAGAATTATGGAAAGAAATTGACTGATCCACAAACATAGTGGGTTATTTCAACACAATGCTCCCAATTATTGATGAGTCAAGAAAGATTTGAATAACACAATTCACTAGCTTAATTTAGTGAATTTAGTGATATAAATTACCCTGCATTCAACAATCAAGGAACAGACATTCTTTTCAAGTGCACTTGGAATATTTTAAAAAATTGACCATATAAAAGGCCATAAAACCAGCCTCAACCAATTTCAAGAATCTGATGTACATAAACTACATTTTATGACCTGCAAGCGTAGATTTAACTTAAGCAATCAAATTAGAAGTGCATAAAAGAAAGGTAAGTGACACATCCCCTAGGTTTTGGAAATTAGAAAGTACACTTCTAAATAACTTATAAGTCAAGTAAGAAATCATAAAAGAAATAAAAAGTTGTACAGATACAATGATAAAAATTATACATATCAGGACTTATGGATGCAGGAAAAATAGTAATTACAGGGAAATTTATAGCTTTAGCTGCTTTCATTAGAAAAGAAAACAGACTGAAAATTAATAAGCTAGGCTTCACTGTAAGAAGAAAAAAACTCCCAACAGAATAAACTCAAAGAGAGCATAAGGAAAGAGATAATAAATATAAAGGTAAAAATTAATGAGGCAGAAAACCAACATACAATAGCAATGATCAACAAACCAAGGCCAGACGGGGTGTGGTGGCTCATGTCTGTAATCCCAGCACTTTGGGAGGCCGAGGTAGGTGGATCACTTGAGGTCAGGAGTTCAAGACCAGCCTGGCCAACATGGTGAAACCCTGTCTCTACTAAAAATACAAAAAAATTATCTGGGCATGGTGGCACATGCTTGTAATCCCAGCTATTTGGGAAGCTGAGGCGGAAGGATCGCTTGAACCCAGGAGGAGGAGGTTGCAGTAAGCCGAGATCGTGCCACTGCACTCCAGCCTGGGCAACAGAGTGAGATTCTGTCTAAATAAATAAATATATAAATAAAAAATAAAATAAAATAAAAAACAAGCCAGGGAAGGGCCAGATAAAATAGATAAATGTTGGGCAAGATTCCTTTAAAAAAGGGGGACAGGGCTGGGCGTGGTGGCTCACGCCTATAATTCCACCACTTTGGGAGGCCAAGACGGGCAGATCACTTGAGGTTGGGAGTTTGAGACCAGGCTGGCCAACATGGTGAAACCCTGTCTCTACTAAAAATACAAAAATTAGCTGGGCGTGCCAGCGGGTGCATGTAATCCCAGCTACTTGGGAGGCTGAGGCAGGAGAATCGCTTGAACCCGCGAGGCGGAAGATGCAGTGAGCTGAGATCACACCACTGCACTCCAGCCTGGGCAACAGAGGGAGACTCCATCTCAAAAAAAAAAAAAAAAAAGACAGTAGCATTCACAAATAAGCAAGAATATGAATGAAGAACAGAAGAAAGCTGCAAATATGGAAGAGATGAAAAAGATAAACATGCCATAAATAACATTACCCTAGTAAATTTGAAAATTTATTAGAAAGGGAAACATTTCTAAAAACATGTAACTTACCAAAGCTGCATCAAGAAAGCCTGGAGACTTCCAGTCCCAAACTGGTAGTGTAGAAGCAACTTGGCTACATTCCTTCCCACAGAAAACCAGAAACACATACTCAGTGCTGAGATGATCAGCACTATTCCAGCAATTTTCCAGAACCCAAATATGAGAATGAGGCAGTTCCTGGAGTCACAGAGAAGTGAAAAAGCTCTGAGCAGTCAGTAAGATAAATGGATTTCTACATCCACAACTCCCCTCCCTATAATCTGCCCAGCACCAAGTGCATGGGCAATTTCCCCTGACTCGTGATTTCTGCACTGGAAAAAGTGAGATTGAGGTGGACGACTAGCTTTCCCACCATTGTGGGTTTCCTGGCAGGAGACCTTCCCTCTGCCTCAACCCATGGGAAGCATCATGATTGCCTGAAGGAAGCAATATTTCTGAGGACACTGAGAGACCAAGGAGGGAGGTGAGGATACTATCCCCAGCCCTGGAAAACACTGTTCTGTAACTCAACCAAAGAAGACACCAAATCAGAGTGGCTGTTTAGCAGCACCACACTGTAGCAGTTGCATCCCACAGGTCGCCTGGGCATGAATCCCTAGCCAGCCTATCCATACTGGCAGGATATCTGCTCTGGGACCTCCTGCATTTGGAACTTCAGTGTTCCAATTGTTCATTAGAGCCAAGGCAAACCTGGGCTTTAGGAATCATCTAGTGCCAAAAAGGAGGCAGCGACCTAGTGGAAAACAAACAAACAAACAAACAAGAAATTCAGCAGTATATTACAAAGATTCTATAAGCAAACATACCCAATAAAAAGCAAAACAGGTCACACAGAGAAGACTTGAATAAATAACTAATCTTTCAATGCAAAGATGTAGATGTATATCCACAAGAAACAATAGGAAACAGGAAACCATGACCACCCCAAACAGACAAAGCATGGAACCACTGATGACCCTAAGAAGATGCCAATATATGAGCTCTCTGACCAAAAATTCAAAATAGCAGTTTTAAGGAAACTCAGTGATCTACCAGATAATACAGAAAATCAATTCAGAATTTATTAAATTTAGCAAAGACACTGAAATTTAAAGAAAAACAAATCTTGGAACTGAGAAATACATCTGCTAAATCAAAAAATTCACTAGAGACTCTCAACAGCAGAATGGATCAAGCAGAGGAAAGAATCCATAAGCTCAAAGATAGGCTATTTGAAATTACATAGAGGAGAAAAAAGAAAAAAAGAATACAAAGGAATGAAGATTGCCTATAAGATATAAGAAATTGCCTCAAAAGATCAAATCTAATAATTATTGGTGTTGAAGAGGGAGCTGAGCAAGAACAAGGGGTACAAAGCTTACTTAAGTAAATAATGAGGCTGATTTGAGTAATAATAAAACTCCAGTCTCCTGCACAGCCAGCTCTGCATGAATTACCCTTTCTCGATTGCGATTTCCTTGTCTTGATGAATCAGCTCTGTCTAGGCAGCAGGCAAGGTGAACCCCTTGGGTGTTTACAAATTTGGTGGCTCTTACAGGAATTGCCCTTGTGGCTACCTGCCTGTGGTTCAGTGGCCCCCCTCCAGCGATGGATCCAGAAGCCAGCCCAAGCGGCCACCTAAGTTCTCTTGAACTGGGGGCTGACTCTGGTACTCTCTCTACTGGCGGGGTGCTGCTGACCCAGTGCGCATGGATTTAATTGCAATGGAGAAGTAGTCATGGGGAGACATCCCTTAATTGTAGCCCTATCACAGGGTGTCTGTGTAGCCCCATGCTGGGGTGTCTGTCTGTAGCCCCATTGCAGAGTGTCTGGCTTGGTGAGTATCCTAGGTGCTGCCAATGCCTCCTTTCTTTTCCTGACTGGGTCTGTACCCCTATGGTGGATGTCTGTTGCCCTATTCGGGGTGTCTGTTTGTAGCTCTACCATAGGGTGTCTTGTGTCTGTAGCCTCATTGTGGGGTGTCTGTTTGGCTCCTGGGGGCTCTCAGTTGGCTCTTTCTAACTAGTAGGAAGAATCCTGGTTTGGGAGACTTCTCCTCAGTCAGGAAGATTTCGAGGCAGTTTCTCAGACGGAGAATAGGAGGATAGTTTGGAAGGGATACTCTTGGAGTTCTTGATTAGGGTTCTAATTTGGAAGGCCTTCTGTCTGTCTCATCTTTGTGTGTGTTTGTGTATGTGGAAGGGATCTTAGAGGTGTTGCTGATGGAAGTCCAGCAGGTCCAGCTCAGAACCCTCCTTATTTGTCTAGTCATATTCGATGTGCCCTAAAGAAGGCTCAACGGACATGTTTCTTAGGGTGACTGTCTGCTCTTTGCCTTGCCCAGAGACCCCATTGTGAATTACCATTTGGAGGTCGTCCTTCCCCATCTGGAGTGGATCAGAAACAGGGAACAACAGGAAAAAGATTGAGCTTTCCCGGGCTGATACTGGGTGCTGAATGAGGCGACTAATGTCTGTTTTGTTATGTGTATTTTGCTGGGATGGAAAATGTAAATTTGGTTCCCCATGCAGCCCGTTGGGCAGCATCTTGCAAATTAAGAATGTTGCCTATGGTCCATAAAACAGCAAAGAGTGATTTTTCTCTTGTAAAGTGGCTTGAACCCCACAGCTATAGCAAAAGTGAGCAGGGTCATCAGAAGCCACTCCGTTCTAGAAGCTGCAGAAAAAGGAAACCCAGAAACCTGGTATGACAGCAAAAAGGGTAAGAAATTCTTACCGGCCAAGTTTCTGGTCTCTCTTTCTCTTTCTCTGTCTGGGTAAACAGTAAACTATTGGTCTCCTCTGCAAGGGTTTGATTAATAGAAAAAAGGGTTTGTAAGACTAATCTTAGGCTGTAGCAAATCTGCTGTACTTTGTATGAAGAATTTGTCTTTCTGTGTTCTGTAATGGAGAGAGGGGTATCACAGGATAGAATGTGGGTTTCGGACCCCTATAAGCTCACTTTTCAAGCCAGCTTGGCAGGCTGGTCAGTTACAAACCTTGCTACGGGTCCCTGAAACCAATACTGGATGAAATTCCTGTCGTTTTGTGTCCTTAAGAGCTTAACCTTGTGACCATGTGGGGATACTTTCTCTGGGTTTTCGCCATCCAGAGGACAGGAATTTTGGGGTTCATGTTGTAGTTAGTCCTAAAACTTTTTTTGAGCAGTTAAAAGCCTTGCAAGCTTGAAACTGGCTTCTCTAGGCTCCTTCTGGGGAGAGTGATAGAAACTGCTCAATGCTGAATACTCAGTAGCTAAGGCTTTGTCTTCTGACAGCGGTGGCCTGGGTTCAGTTGTTGGCTTCTGGAGTGATTCCTTTCTGGTTTGTTGTTTGTGTAACTTTGCCATTTATTGAGTTTTTCTCCCCCATAGTTAGCTTCTGATTTCCTCTCTTGAATTTTCCTTTCTCTGAACTACCTTGTGGAGATTCTAAATCTTGTAAAAAAAGAAACTGCTTACCATGTCTTTGAGGCACCTAGGAGGTTACCTTTGGTAAAGTTCAGAAGCTAGAAATACTGGCCACTTGGCGTAGCTAAAGTCAAGTAGTAAGAGATTTGAAAGGATTTCTTTTTTAAAGAGCACTATGGTTAAAAGTCAGCATAATTTAAAGTGGATAAACAAGCTACTATAGATATATTTAAAGGCTTTTCTGTTTTTCTCTTCTTGGAACTTGTTTTTCTGGGAAAAGATTTTTTCTTCTCAGTCGACTGAATTATTTTTCTCCTTTTTTTTTTTTTTTTGGTCTTACCTCTCTTAATGCACACATGAGAGGCCCTAAGATAACTTCTGGTAGCCTGGGACTCCTTGGGAAAAACAGAGGAGGCACCACAGACCCCGTTTTGGGAAAAAACTTCTGTTTTCCTCATGAAACCCCAGGAATTAAAAGCGGATAGATCCCTCTCAAAATCAAAGGCTCTGTTCTGTTTTGCATTGTGTTATCCGATGGTTTTGAGTTTTTGGGGGTATCAGAAATTACTTCTCATTATGATAACTAGGTAGGAAATACACTTTAGGGGATGGCTAATAGTAGTTATGGAGGATACTTGACTCTGCACACTTGGATCAGAGATGCTTGCTCTTGGCCACCTGGAAGATAAGGAGACATCCCTGCCCCGACTGGGAGATGAGACTCCCCTGAGAGATGGGCCGATTACAAAATGGGCTGATTGGCTTTGGCTGCCTTGAATGGAATGCAGGGTAGAAGCACTGCGCGGTCTTCTCCCACAGTATTTCCCTCCTCTTGGGGATCCAGGATCCAGTATAAAATGGCACCATTAATTTTGGGGATCTGTCTTTGCCTTCAGCAGCTTATTTGCTGCTTTTTTGGCCCTAGAAACGCATGCTTTCCCGGCCCTGTTCCTCCAAGGGCTCCACCCTGAAGCCAGTCATCCAGTTAAGAAACTGGCAAATGAAAAATTTTACAAGTGCTAAATCTTCTATCTGTCTTTGTATTTATATGTATTGTTTGTTTATATGTAAAAGAGCTCTGATTAATTTGCTTAGAAAAATAAGTGCTTAGACTGGGCATGGTGGCTCACACCTATAATCTCAGCACTTTGGGAGGCCGAGGTGGGTGAATCACCTGATGTCAGGAGTTCGAGACCAGCCTGGCCAACATGGTGAAACCCCATCTCTACTAAAAATACAAAAATTAGCCAGGCATGGTGGCACACACCTGTAATCCCAGCTACT